GAAGGCTGAGATCTTACAATATTCACCCACATCAGAAGGGGAAGGTGAGAGTCTTACAATATCACCCCACATCAGAAGTGGAAGTGAGATCTACAATCAGTATACCCACAGTCAGAAGTGGGAAGTGAGATCTTACAGACCAGTATTAAGGGTAGTAAGGAAATATCATGGACAACTTTATACTACCAAATTTGAAAAATCTGATAAAATGGACTATACTCTTTGAAAAACAGTACTAAAGCTGCCATTAAATGAAACAGAAACTCTCAATCCTGTATTATTCAATAAATTGAAATTGTTCATTAAAATATCATGAAGGAAACTCCAGGCCCAGATCATTTCACTAATGAATTCTATCAAGCATTCCAAAAAGAAGTTTGACCTTTGAACAACACAAGTTTGAACTGTGTTGTTCAATTCTTTTCAATAAATACATTGGATACATTTTTTAAGATTTGTGACAATTTGAAAAAATAACTGCGTAGTCCAGAAATGTCGAAAAAATTAAGAAAAAGGTATGTCATGAATGCACAAAATATATGTAGATACTAGTCTATTTTTATCATTACCATAAAATATACACAAATTATAAAAAGTTAAAATTCATCAAAACCTACCGACACATACTCATACATCCTACATGGTGCCATTTGCAGTTCAGAGAAATATAAATGTAAGTATGTAGTATTAAATCCTAACTGCATAAAATTAGCTGTAGTACACCCAGCATTATTGTAATAATGTTATAGTTACCTCCTTTTTGCTATGGTGTGGAGTTCAATTGTATCTGCTTAAAATGCCATGTGACCCTAATCATATCAGTGAACAGTTTCTCCCTCCACTAAATTGCATATGGCAGTAAAACGAAAGCTTTCACAGTTCTCATATGACTTTTCATAGTGTCTTGTGTAATACCATAAACCTTAACACCATGGAACCCAAATGAAATGCCACTGGCGATACTGGAAGTACTCCTAAGCAGCAGCGGAAAGTCATGACATTACAAGAAAATGTTTAATTGCATAAAAGGCACCATAGATTGAGGTCTGCAGCAGGGGCTACTTGCCATTTCAAGATAAATAAATCCAGTGTGAGGACCATTGTTAAAAACAAAAAGAAAAGGAAATTCATGAAGCCATTGTTGCAACTGTGCCAGCAGTGTGAAAACCTTGCACTTTTGCAAAATACATTTTTATCTATTGAAAATGCATCTTTTCTGTGGGTACAGGATTGCTGTAAGGCATACCTCTAAGGTGTAAGATGATTTGAGAAAAAGTTAAGTCACTATATGACAACCTAAACAAAAGGAAGGTGAAGGTTCTAAATCTGGAGTATTTAATGCCAGCAAAGGATGGTTTGATAATTTTAGAAAGAGGTTTGGCTTAAAAACAGTCAAGCAGGAGAAGCAGTTACCAAATGCCATTAAGAAAATCACTGAGGAGAAAGGATATCTGCCTGAACAGGTTTTTAAACAGATGAAAGTGCCCCACTCTGAAAAACAAAAACAGAAACAAAAACAGAAAAATGCCGGAAAGGACATTTATTAGTAAGGAAGAGAAGTGAACACCAGGATTTAAGGTAGGAAGGGATGGGCTAATTCTACTGTTTTGCGCAAATGTAATCGGGTTTATGATCAGGACTGACCTTATCTATAAAGCTGCTAACTCCTGAGCCTTGAAGGGAAAAGTTAAAACACCAGCTGCCAGTCTTTTGGTTGTAAAACAAAAAGGCCTGGACAATGAGAATTCTTTTTTTCTATATTGGTTTCATTGATGTTTTGACCCTGATGTCAAGAAGTACTTTGCCAGTGAGTGAGTGCCTTTTAAAGTTTTTTTTTTTTCTTTTTGATTGGACAATGTCCCTGACCCCATGAGTTCAATACTGAAGGTGTCAAAGTGGTCTATTTGTCCCCAGACATAACATCTCTAAATCATCCTCTAGATCAGGGAGTCATAAGGACCATTAAGGCTCATTACACACAGTACTTTACGGAAAGGACTGTCAACACTACGCAAGAGAACCCTGATAGAACATCATGAAAGTCTGCAAGGATCACACCACTGAAGATGCCATCGTTATACAAAAAGCTGTGAAAGCCATCAAGTCCAACCTAACACACCCCCCTGCTGGAGGAAACTGTGTCCAGATGTTGTGCATGACTTGACAGGATTTACAACAGAGCCAATCAAAGAAATCATGAAAGAGATAGTGAACATGGAAAAAATGATGGTGAGTAAAGGCTTTCAAGATATAGACCTTGGAGAAATTCAAGAGCTAATAGATGACACACCAGAGGAATTAACAGAAGATGATGTAATGCAGACAAGTGCTTCTGAACCAGTTCCAGATGATAAGGAGGATGACATAGAAGTAGTGCCAGAAAAACAGTCTGGCAGAAGGTTTCTAATTATTCAAGTCTGTGTTTGATTTCTTTACAATATGGCTCCTTCTATAATATGGGTACTACAAATAAGTAAACAGTGGAAGGACTGTACCAAATAGAAACATCTTTAGAGAAATGAAAAAGCAAAAAAGCTAGAAACTATATTTCCATAGTTACACCGTGTGCTGTTTCTGCCACCCCGATACAGTAAGAACAACCCCTCCTCTTCTTCCTCCTCCTCAGCCTGTTCAACATGATGATGATGAGAATGAAGACCTTTATGATGATCCACTTTCAGGTAATGAATACTAAATCTATTTTCTCTTCCTTATATCTCTTAATAACATTTTATCTCTCGTTTATTGTAAGAAAACAGTATGTAATACATATAACATAAAAATATGTGTTAATTGGCCGGGCGCAGTGGCTCAAGCCTGTAATCCCAGCACTTTGGGAGGCCGAGACGGGCGGATCACGAGGTCAGGAGATCGAGACCATCCTGGCTAACCCGGTGAAACCCCGTCTCTACTAAAAAATACAAAAAACTAGCCGGGCGAGGTGGCGGGCGCCTGTAGTCCCAGTTACTTGGGAGGCTGAGGCAGGATAATGGCGTAAACCTGGGAGGCAGAGCTTGCAGTGAGCTGAGATCCGGCCACTGCACTCCAGCCCAGGCGATAGAGCGAGACTCCGTCTCAGAAAAAAAAAAAAAAAAGTGTTAATTGACTAGTTATGTTATCTGTAAGACTTTCAGTCAACAGTAGGCTATTAGTAGTTAAGTTTCTGGAGAGCAAACAATGGTCCACAGATTGTCAACTATGGGGGGGAGTCTGCATCCCTAATCCCCATGTCTGTTGTTCAAGGGTCAAGTGTACTAGCAAACAGAGCACTATACTAAATATATTTTATTAAGTCTAATGCTAAAATCTGACAAAAATAATTTTTAAAAAGGAAATCATAGGCTAATGGCCATCACGGACATAGGTGAAAAACTCTTAAATAACTAGTAGAAAACTGACTACAGTAATACATACAAGAAGCATAACAGTGGCCAATTGGATTATATCAAGAATGCAATGTTGGGCTAACATCCAAAAGCTGACCAACGCAGTTTCCCATAATAAGAGAATAAAGGGGAAAACATGATTATATTAATAAATGTAGAAAAACATTCAGTAAATTTATCACATATTTATTATAAAAATCATCAGCAAACTGGCACTAGAATAAAACTTGCTCGATTTGGTAATGGGCATCTGCAAAAAAATTACAGCTAGTATCTTTCTTAATGGTAAGAAATTAAATATTTTCTCCTAAGACTGAAAAGAAGACAACCCAACTGAAAAGCATCTGCAATGTGAAAATATTACCGTTTTCATGTAATAGTAACAAAATCTGAAAAACAAAATTTAAACATATTCATTTACAATAGCATCAAAACCACAAATGAAATAAATTTAACAATTTAATTTTATCTAATTTATTAAACGTTAAATTTTAATAATATTTCTATATTGAAAACAGATGGAGTCTCGCTCTGTCACCCAGGCTGGAGTGCAGTGGCGCGATCTCGGCTCACTGCAAGCTCCGCCTCCCAGGTTCACGCCATTCTCCTGCCTCAACCTCCTGAGTAGCTGGGACTACAGGCGCCTGCCAACATGCCAGGCTAATTTTTTGTATTTTTAGTAGAGATGGGGTTTCACCGTGTTAGCCAGGATGGTCTTGATCTCCTGACCTCGTCATCTGCCCACCTCGGCCTCCCAAAGTGCTGGGATGACATGCATGAGCCACCACGCCCGGCCCAAGGTATGCTTCTATACTAAACACTATAAAAGACATCTATAAGAAATTATAGATGACCTAATAAATGGAGAACTGTAGACTCTCTGTTAAGATATCAATTCCTCCTAAATTTATCTATAGTTTTGATGTAATAAAAATCAATTTCTCAGTTGGGTTTTTTAGGAAATTGACAAGATAGTTCTAAAATTTAAGTGAAAATACAAAGGACCCAGTGTAGCCATCTCCTTCTTCTACAAAGCCTTGAAATAACAAAATTTTGGACTCACACTACTTAATCTCAAGATTCACTATTAAACTTCAGTGAAAAAGAATGGCATAAAGAAGGAAAAAGTTCAAAAAAGATTCATATGTATATTGCCAATTTATTTTCAACAATGGCATTAGATAATTCAGTAGAAAAAGAAAAATCTTTTGAGCAAATGGTTCTGGAACAACTGGAGATTCATGAAAACAAGTAACTTCAACTACATTTGAAAATGATTTGAGATACAAGTTATATTTATGTCCCAAAGCTTCCAGAAGAAAACTTAGAAAACTATTATTTGCAAACTTGAAGCAAAGATTTAATAGTAAGTTAGTAATAAGCACTAAAAACAAGAGACTCAAACTGATATACTGGACTTAAAAATCTTAAATATCTGTTTATCAAAAGACACAAGCCTGGGCAACACAGCAAGACCCTGTGTCTAAAAACTTTCTTTTATAAATTAGCCTGGTGTAGGGACATATGCCTCTAGTCCTAGCTGCTCGGGAGGCTAAGGTGGAAGTACTGCATGAGGCCAGGAGTTTGAGGCTGCAGTGAGCTATGATTGTGCCGCTGCACTCCAGACTGGGTGCAAAGTGAGACCTTGTCTCAAAAAAACTCCAAAAAACAAAAATGAAAAGATAGGGAAAGAGAGTTGGAACTGATTGCTTAATGGGTATGAGTTGTCTTTGGGGTGCTGAAAATGTTTTGCAACTAGTTAAGGATGGCAGTTGCAAAACATTTTGAATGCACTAAATGGCTACGTTATGTTAATTTCACCTAAATTAAAGGAAAAGACATGGGGGACAAAAGGAAAGGGAGAATAAATAGAAATAAGGGATGAGCCACTGGCAAATTTGGGCCATTTTAAAATTTAGAGCATAATAGCAATAAAAGGAGAAGAAAGAAAAGAAAAAGAAAGGAAATGGAAAGAAAGGCAGGCAGGCTAAGATACTTAATGAAAGAAACCTTTGCAACACATATATTGAACAAGAAATGTATGTCCCAGTAATACAAAGAACGCTTCCAAATGAAGAGGGAATAAACAATCCAATGTAAAACTATTTGTAGTGTGATACTTTACACATATTGCAAACAATTTTCATAGAGCTGAGGGGTTGAATAAAATGTGGTGCATCCATAGAGTTAACCATACCAAGCATAAAAGAATGAGGAATATATCTTTGAATACACATGAAGTGATTTCCACGACATATTAAGTGGAAAAAGAAAATTGCAAAAAAAAATCTATAGTATGCCACCAATCATGTAAGAAGGAAGGGGATATGATAAAATATATATGTATCTGCCCATTTGTGATCAAGAAAAAAAAGAGAAAAAAATAAATCAGAAACCATTAGACTAGTTAACTCTAGGGGTTGGGTGAGATTAGGGTGGAAAGAAGGGAGGAATAGAATCATTGTAGCAGGGATGATGGGGAAGTGATATTTCTCACAATCCTAATTTTTAGAACCACAGTAATATTTCACATATACAAAATATAGTTAAATTAATCCAAAAGGTGAGGGAACTCAAAATGGAACATAAACAGTAAAAAAAAAAACCAGACTGATTATATGATTAATGTAACCATACTGTAGGGGATAGGAAAAAAAGATAACTAACCTAAATACGTTTAGAAACAGTATGTTGACCGAACACTGTTAAGGATAAAGAAAAAAGAACTATATTTAAATACCGTGCTATAGTTAGTGATTTCATTTTTAAACGGGTATAATTTAGAAATTCTGAGATTACTTTAAGCACATACCGCACTGAAGAAATAACAAAACATATTGTAGATAATGAAAGGTAGGTTTCTCACTGTTGAAGAAACAAATCACAAATAAGCCAAGAGGAAAGAATAAAATGAACATTATGATGATGGATTATAATCGTAACAGTATGAACTCGTGATTTTTAATAAAGATATATACTATCTATAGTATTCTATATATTATTGGTATATATATTTAAGATAGATAAATGGACAGAGACATTATAGGTGTGTGTGTGTGTGTAAATGGACACATAGCTCCGAGCTCTAGGCCTAGAAGCAATAGAACCCCGTTAGCAATGAATACACTTAATAACAAGATCTTGGTTTCTAAATACTATTTCGCAATATGAAGAACTAGAACTCACTGAGGAAATGGTTGATTACAGGCTTGGGGAAGGAAAATACAAGACAAACCTAGAACATCTTGTGATACCAGAAAATAAGAAGTGGTCAAAAAATTATGGGGTTGTATTAAAAGAACACAGGGCCAACTTAAAGGAGCTCCCAATGATCAAATCCAGGAAAAAAAAAAAATGAAAATCAAACACAAATAATGATTGCAATATATAACAATCCATAAAGTAAGATATGCACAAATCCACACGGATGTAAAATAACAACTGAGTACAAATAAATGGGGAAGAAGGACAGATCTTTACAGTCAAATTATAATACGTAGAGAAAATATCATGGAAATAGAAACCATCACTAGGTTTACACCATAATCATAATTGCTGTAGGCAAGAATCTTCAATTATTACTGAAATTAGATGAAATAAAATATTTGCATAGTCTCAAAGTATCTCCTCACAAAATATTAATTACAAAGAAAGGAAAACAGTAACTTTGCAGTGGATAAACCTGGCAGATACTACCTTAATCAAGTGATATTTAATATCAGCAGAAATAAGACACTGACATCATGTACCCCAGATACAATCCACTGAAAAGGGCACACCATTACTGCTGTGTTATCTTTTGTCAAAAGTGCATAACCTTAATCTAATAATAAAAAATATCAGACAAATCCAAATTGAGGACTAGGGTACAAAATTATGGTTTAGTATTTCTCAAATGTGTCAATTTAATGAAATACAAAGACTGAGGGAACTCTCCCAGATTTGTAGTTAGGAGAGAGGGCAAAGGAAACATGCCAGATAAATGCAATAAGGGATCTTGGATTGGATCCTGGACTAGATAAAAAGGACATTAATAGGGTAACTGGAAAGACCTGAATATAGTCTGCAGATTGGTTGATAGTATTATATTAATTTCCTGATTTCAATCATTGTATGTAATGTCATAATAATGATTATATAAAATGCTAACATCCAGAAAGCTGGGTACAGAATACACAGGAACTCTACTATTTTTGCAAATTTCCTGTAAGTCCAAAATTACTTCAAAATTGTAATTTAAAAGTTGGGAAAAATACACAAATTTTACTACAGAAGATTTACAATTGGACAACTTCATGAAAAACTGGTTGCCTTCTTAAGCGGTCAAATTTCAAATTGAAGTCACAACAAAATGTCAGCTCACACCCAGTTAATAGATAAGACTCACAATTTCCAATGTTGGCAAAAATGGACAGCAACTAAAAATCTCATAGCACTGGTTGGGAGTGTGAAAACTGTCCACTTCTTTAGAAGACTCTAGCAGTTTTCTGTAAGTTAAGCAAAAATCTGTCTTATCAAACAATTCAATTTTGAGGTATTTACATAAGAGGTCTGCTAACATTCAAAACAGCTAAAACCTAGAAACTACTCAGGTGTCCATCAACAAGAGAGTAGATAAACTGCAATATGACCATTTAGAGAAATATCACAACTATAAAAATTTCTTAAAACTGCTCATATAGGGAATAGCATGGATAAATCTCAACATGATTATGATGAGTGGAAGAAGCCAGACACAGTGTGATTCCATTTATATTAATTTCAAAAGAGGCAAAACTTATCTGTGATTGTAGAAATCACAACATTGTTTTTTTGAGAAGGTGCTTGGTTGTGGCGGTAGGGTAGGTTCTCAAGTAATAAAAATATTCTGTCTTCTGAATGGGATAGTAATTACTTTTAAGAAAACTTACTGAATTATACAATTACTATATATCAATGCATTTAACTATGTAAATTTTACTTATGGAAAAATATAAGTCATTAAAAATAGGGAAGCTCCACATCTATGGATATGTAATAATCAGAAATATTAAAATATTTATATAATACATAAGCTATAAAGTTATGGAATAGTATAAAAGCATGAGTGTGTATACATACACATTTAAAAATAAAATTGTAAAAATGTTTATAGAAGAAGTGTTATTATTTCTCTAGCTTATTTGAAAATACTTAAAATTAACACGAAGTAAATATGGCAAAATGTTGATAATGATGGAACCACTTCCAGTTCCTTGTATGTGCTAGTTCACTGTTCTCTTCTCCTTATACACTGTATGTTTACAATGTGTTCATAATGAAAAGTTTTATAAAATGCACAGTGGGGTAAATCTTTCACTGCCAAGAACAAGTGAATATGAATGTATTACACATGTTTAAGAATTTATTAGGAAAAGAAATAAAAGAATACAGAACCAATATATACAAGTAAATTAGAACCTTAAAAAATACCTGATAAATTATACCAAAGACCTGATTGAGGGAGAGGGAAGGGGAAGGCTAGTGATGCTAAACATCCACTAGTTAAACTTATTCATTAACAAAGGCATGGCAGAAATAACTATAACTGGAATGAAAATGAATACATAATTGAAACAAGAGAAATGTAATAGAATGATGAAAGAACACTGTATAACTTAATGCTAATGTGTTTCAAAATCTGTATGAACTGTGATTTGCTAAGATAACACAGGTTAAATTTAAGACACAAAACAAAGAACAAGCAATAACCATACAAAAAAAGGAAAAGAATAAAAAAAACTTCTAGATAGCCTCTCTTCTAACTCCAAACCACCAAAAACAAAGGAGAATCCAGATGATTTCACTGATGTGTTCACTTAAACACTGATAGTGAGATAAGAGCTTTTCCACTCACTCTAGAACACAGTATAAGAAAATCCTCAAAATGATTAACACAACCAGAGTATCTGATATCAAAACATGACAAAAATAGCACAAAAAAGAAAAATCACAGGTCAATTTCACTTAGTTGTATACTTGTAAAAATTCCAAATCAAATTAAAATACCCACGATTAAGTAGTAAATTAAAAGAATAAAACATTTTTAAAACCAGTAGGGTCTGTTCATTCAAGGAATAAAAGGAAGTTGCAATAACAGTAAATTAATTCATAGTGATAAAAGTCTTTAAAAAGAACAGTAACACAGATTCTGCAAAAAAAATTTGATTATATCTACCACCTGGTTTTGATTAAAATTCCTTACAAAATATAAAAGGTGGGAGACTTTCCTAACATAGTAGACAAAGTATTTCGCACTTAAAAATCAGCATTTCACACATTGATGATTAAGACCACCCACATCAAAATAACTTACCTATTGGGAATAAGACCTGATACCACCCCCAGCAGAGTCCTGCCCAGCAAGATAAAACTGTAAACCAATAAATAAATTCAGTTTGCTTATCTAGGCAAATAGTTCTTCTATCACTGATAACATATTTCTACAGGCAAACAGCTCACCTAGAAAATGATTTGACCATCAATCCTCACATTAAGAACCTCATCTCACTTTCCCACCAATCTTAAAGTATTGCATGACAAATTTTGCCCATTTCTAATTAGTTCCCTGCCCAGACCCCAAAGCCTTTCTTGATTTTGAAACATTATTAAATCCTATCAAGGTGGTGTTTTCCCTTGCTGCAGGTAAGTTTAACAAACTCAGCTTTGCTTGATCACAGCTCTTTCTGGTGGTCTTTGGGAGAAAATGACCAGCAACAATGTGCCAGTCAAACCAAAGAAGCATACCATTAAACCCTGATTAAATCAAGGGTGGGTAATATTTCCATAACTGTTCAAGTGTTCTGATAGTAACAGTCTGTGGACTTTGTCAACATAACTAATATCAGGATCAATATGAAGGGGGGAAATAAAAACTTTAAATATTTGCAAAGGATTTAGTCTATACTTTGAAAAAATCTGAAAAGCAACAAGAAACAGTAAGGTGACCACTTACCCCCAAAACAAAACAAAACAAAACAAAAACTTTAGATACAAAAAATGAACAAGAAAGCAAATTAAAAGAAAAACTCCCATCACCAGAGTGAAAATATTAACAGTAATTAAAATTATTGAATACGAAAAGACATACCTTGTCCTTGGATACGAAGACTTAACTTAATATTTTTAAAAACCATTCTCCCCTCAATTGATTTATTAAAGTTGATGAAATTGCAGTCTAAACTGTAATTTCTTCCAACGAGAAGACACATGAGACAGGAGGCAGAAGAAGAGACACACAAATCCACAGAACAAAAATGGAGCCAGTCACAGATGAGAGTACAGCATATGCGCAAGATGGCAGTACAGATAAATGGGCAATTATTGGCAAATAATCGCAAGTAATGGCAAGTAACTTGGCAACTTTAAGATTTCAAAACAAAAAAATTTCTCATGATTTAAGAATTTGAATTAAAAAAACACAAAAGAATTAGAATTTAACATAGGTGAAGGGTTTTATGGACTTAGTATATATATCTTTCCAAAAATGACATGAAACTCAGAAGCCATAAAAGCGAACATGGTTATACTTGGACATATAACAATCATACACATTCTTATAACAAAAACAAAGTTAAAAAGTGTGTAAAAAAGAGCTGTAATGGTTGACAATCCAAATCTTATTTCCCGAAATAGTAAATGAGCTCTTCGAAATCAGGAAGAGACTAAATCCTCCTCCCACCCACAAAATTGGACATAAAGAAGAAATTAAAAAATACAGATGGCTAACAAACATGAAAAAATGACCAAACTCAAAAACAAAAGAAATACAATTTAAGACAATAGTTTGGGTGATCACATTGGCAAAAATTTTAAATATTTATAAAATCCATTGTCTGTGAGGTTGTAGGAAAGCTGGCAATCTCATTCATTGCCATTGGAGGATAAAGTTGTTAACCACATTTTTGAAGGCAAACTTGCAATAATTTTCAAAATATGAAGTGTGCACATACTTAATCCCAGTAATTCAACTGATAAGTAATTTATTATGATATTATAGACAAATGCAAAATTATTGATATATAGGGAGGTTCATTGCACAGAAATTTGGTGCTAACATAAATATCTATGAGTGAGAAATGCTTAAAACATTTAATTATATTTCATCTACAAAACATTCATGTCGTCATTCAACAAATGACACAGATGTGTATGTATTACTGAAAAAGAAAAAGGCCATTGAATGAGGGCTGTTAAATGAAAGAGGTAATTTGCAGAAAAATGTGTTACAATATGGCCACACTCCTGGATCCTTCCCCAAAATGGCTTGTGTATTTGTGTGCATCTATCCACTAAAAGAATGCATGTAGTTCACTTAATAGAGGAAAACTATAGGGACAGAATTGGAAGAGAGGAGGGCATTTAATTTATATATTATTTAAATATGCTTTGAATTTTTGAAAAAAATAAAAAAAAGTTTCTTTTTAATATATTCTGTATTTTTCAGTTTACCATGTGGCAAATGAAAATTATAAATGTATATTTATGGGAGCACTGAGCAATTCCACCATTTTGAGCATCTTGTGTAATATTTTATCCTCTACTGAGGCTCCTGGGATTGAGTCAAGTGGCAGCAAGGGAAACAGTCACCATGCCCCAATTAAAGTCTCATCGATGATATCCCAACATGAGCATTTCTCAGTTAAGCATTTCTTATCTGCAGGAGGTATCCACTGCAACACAGGAAAGAGAAGAGTCCCCATGCATAAGGAAGACTGAATCATTGTTTTGGTGAAGCTGGCAGTAGAAGGAATGGCACCAACTCAACAAATCCACCTCTTTGTGGCCATCACCTGCAAGGACACAGTGGGGAAAAGTGGCAAAGGTGAGAAACACATTTCCTAAGGAGTCATGGGGGTATGAAATTCCTCTTTAATCTTCCCCCTACTTGTGCTAGAACAAATATACCCACAGTACACAGAGAAAACCTCATTTCTAGCACCTGAGTCCATGATGAGGCCAAAACAATGACATTAAAACTTCCTGATGTCAAGGATGCCAGATACTGATGCTGCTTTTTCTCCTTTTGCTGGGCTAAAAAGTAATAGCCATCAACAACCTCGGGTTTCATGTCTCTCTCTTCCTCTCTGGTTTCTTAAAGCTCTAGGTCATTCACTTGTTTGATCAGTTAGTTCAGACCAGTTTGTCAACCTTCCAGTCTAACAGTTATGGAGAAGCTACTGTGTTTCCTTTGTACAACAATTTTCTAGCATTACAATGGATCAAGCCATGAAGGAGTTGAGTTTATTAGATGACAGAAGTTAAGGAAATCCTTCATATTAACAGTAAATGTACTGAGATGTAGAAAAGCCACGAAGGTATATTAAGAAAAGCTGCATCTCTTAACATATTACACAATCTCAGAATCAATTAGAATGTAATCAAACATCATCAATATTCAGAAAATTAACAGCTCAATTTCTACTAAGACATGGCTTCTCCTAGAAAGCAAGGACTATTTTAACTAACACCTTACCTTTAGTGGGTGGCCTAGGCAATGCATAGGTGAGCAGGCTTTTTGTCTAAGGGGTGCTGTTTTGGGAATTTGCTGATAACATTCACTCTCAGAAGAGTTCCCAGGAAGTCATCTTCTGAGGTGAAAAAAAAAAGAAAGAAAGAAAGAGAAACACCACTTCCAATGAAACAAGCAATGCAGCTGGAATCTGGAAATTCCTTCTCTGCTACTCTTTTATATTGGTTTAATTTAATTAACATAGTTCTGAAACCATAACCATCTAGTCCATAACTACACATTTCAATGTCAGCACACTGCATCAGGGACCTTCTCTCTTGCGCATTTCCAGACCCGACTAGATCACCTGAACCCCACTGAAAGTTATGTCTCTTTCTGTTTTAAAATCATTTGTTTTCTACTGCTTAGTTGGTCAGGTTACTCACAAAATTACCAAGACAATCTACTTATATATCTTTTTATCAATAAAAGTTTATTGAGAACCTGTTCTATGACAGGCAATCCACAAGGTGCTTGTATCACAAAAAATGAACTGAAAAAATATCTGGACATAAGAAATTAAAAGTCCACTGGATGAATCAATCATACAAATAAAGAGCTGAAACATAATGGTCTTATGGAGGCAGATTCAGTTTTGGGCTCGGATTGCCGAGGAAGACCTGTTGTGACCACTCGCCTTTAATTCCCCAGAACGGTATCCACCCTCAGCTGGCTATCAGATGGCTTTTCATGCTATTTAACTGGAACCAAATGTCATCAAACTCAAGAAGAGCAGTATCTATCAACTCCTTCCATCCTAGGCCTGGTTTCCTATGAATGTGCAGTTCCCTGCCCACATACCTGCAAGGGTGTCCAAGAAACCACAGGTAGGCATGGAGAGCCACTGACCAGGGAGTAAGTTGTCAGCTCATTCTCTGGAGTTTTCTTTAATTCATTCTCTTGCTTCCTGACAAGTCAATAAACACATTTAGTAATATTTATCACGATGTAGTGGCTTACAATTCTATTTTCAAACATACTTTCCCCAATATAATTTTAGCTAATATTTCTAAGACAGATATTTTATAAATGTTGTTTTTATCAGATTTGAAAGTTAAGGCAAGGGCATGGACAGTTTCGCTTCCCTTCTAGGCTCTATCATCACTTGACATAAAAGAAAAAAAGAAAAAAAAATGCACCTAAAATACACACATCTGTATGTTCATATAAACCACACACACACACACACACACACACACACACAATCTAATTTAACAATGAAACATTCAGGAAGTATGGGTATCCTGTGCTGGGAAAACACGGATGTTGCTAAGCCCTTTGTGTGTCATGTACACAGGCTTCAAATACGCACTGCCCTCCCTTTACTCTGTAAGGTTCAATGGACACAGAGAGTGGCCAGCTAATGACTACATTAGTAAGATAAAATATTCCCAATCTATTAAGACTAAGTGTTATAAAACAAAATTTACACCATTATATACAGAGCAATATGATCATGGTCTATTACCACCCAGTGAAGCCCCAGGAAATCTTCTAAGGATTCCACTGGTGAAGGATGTGTTTCTAGCTCAACAATTTTTTTAAGACTATCTTTACAAAACAATACATTTCAATAATTTCTAAATATCTGGAAAGGGTGGATTAAACTAAGCTACTCTTTTTTAAAACAATAGTCTAAAATTTGTCCCCAAACAATAATCTAGTGAAAGGCAATGTTTATGTGCAATAATCAGGACTATCCTATAACCACTCTTCATTAAAAAGACATACATAAATAAAATATCTTGATCTATGATTTGGAAGAAAGCATGTAATACAAAATCATTTTCAACAGCATTAATATAACTAGAAAGTCTAGATATGATAAAATGATATATCTCTATTCAGAATAGCCATATAACTATACAGCGGCTTACATGTGATTTACTGATCTCAGCCTTGTTGATTACCTAAGGGACAAATGTAAAACTGTGCACATCTCAAACAGATGTGCTAATACTCTCTGAAGCCATCTGCAAAACAATGCATCATAAATTTTACCAAATATATTTACAGGTTTTCAATTGTCCTGTCCCTGTCAACCATTAAGACATCTTGAAATTACAGATTCATGTAAAAGTGTAAAGTTTTAACTTTACAAAAAAAGTTAAGCCAAAAACATACAATAGTTAAAACACGCATTTGTCTTCCGAATAAAAACATACTGATACAAGGCTACTGTTTTCTTTACTTCACTCTGTTGTCTCCTGATAAGTTAATAAACAAATTTAGAAATATTTATCAAAATGTGGTAGCTTACAATTCTATTTTCAAACATACTTTTCCCAAACTAATTTTAGCTAACATTTCTAAGACAGATATTTTATAAATGTTTTTATATTTTATAAATGCTTTTATCACATCTACATCTTTTATCACAGAATAGCATACACGTAGTAGCTCTAGAATCTGTGACCAATAGAACTTTCTGTGGCAAAAGTGTTTTATAATTCCACTCTATAATATCAATTATGTTGATAATACATGGTGTGCAGTAACTTGAGAAAAATCACTAAATAGATAAAGAGTGCAATCAGCGTGTTTCAGCCTGTCACTAACTGTGTTAGGGTCAAGTTCTCATTTTATTTAATATAGTATCTTCAAGATAGAGAGCGCCCTTTCAATGATTAGAAGAGATATAAGACAAAAATAAAGAGAGTATTACTTACAGGTCCTGAGGGGTACATGGCATGCCTGGGAGTCCACATGCAGAGGTCAGGGAGTGAGAGAGACGGAGAGAGAAAGAGAGACACACATGGGCCAATGCCCTTACTGGGTCAAGGGTACTATTCAAACAGGTTTGCTATGGAGACTTCTAAGTGGTGGGTCTAAAGCAAGCAGGCATGAGTTCCCTGGGGTCACACTGTGACTGGGAGGTGGACACTGGCTCCATAAGGGGTGTGGGGTTCAAGGGGCTTGTCAGGTAGAATGCATCAAGCTGTCCCATGGTGAAGTGGTCCAAAGGAGGCAATTGGATAAGGCAGCTATCTGGACCAACCACACTGAGGAACGAGGAGGAAGTGTAGAACTGGAAACTATGCAAAGGTGAGTAAGCCTTGCTTCTAGTATAAGAAAGTTAAACTTATATTCAAGATGGATGCCAAGGCAACACAAAATTATAAGAATTCACTACATTCTTCCAATGTCCATACCCAAAAGGGCACACTGCTCAGGCCTCAGGGACATTCTCTCAATCATACATCTCAATTCTAGCCCAATATCATCTTCATTCCCAAAAAGGAGAAACTGTTCAAACATTCTTGATACCCAATACCTTTCTGCTATAAGCTAAGCAGAGAAATGTCAAACATCCTAGAATCTTTAGGAATGAAAACCATGGAGCACTTACCATGTGATTAATGTTGATACATGATTTGATTACAAGAGGCTTCCCAAAATTAAAACAATTCCCCACTGGCTACAAACAGTTGCCAGGCACAGTGGCTCATGCCAGTAATCCCAGCACTTTGGGAGGCCAAGGGCAGATCACCTGAGGTCAGGAGTTTGAGACCAGCCTGGCCCACGTGGTGAAACCCTGTCTCTAAAAAAACACAAAAATTAGTAGTATGTGGTGGCACGTGCCTGTAATCCCAGCTACTCGGGAGGCTGAGGCAGGAGAATCGCTTGAACCCTGGAGGCAGAGGTTGCAGTGAGCCAACATCGCGCCACTACACTCCAGTCTGAGCGATAGAGCAAGACTAAGTCTCAAAAAAAATATATGTATATATATTTATTTTTACTGCTCCTTGCAGAGCAGGGCTAACCCACAGACAGTGTTCCCTGAGTAGCCCACAGATAAATTTGGAATGAATGATATTGCTATGGGATGTTCTGGAAACCTCACAGATATGAGCAATGAAGCCAATGAGAATCAAAATGTCAACGCTGTGTTGTTAAGTTGTAAGTGCAATGAGAATTTTGTTTTCCTTCATAGCTCTCCCCTCAAGAAAGTACAATGCAGCAAACAGCAACATTCCTGATCCAATCTATAGGGTCAGTAGTGATATCCTCTCCATCATTCCTAATTCTAATGATCTGTGTCAGTCAAGCTAAAGGACTGTCAATTTCACAAATCTCTGCACAAACCCAACTTTTGGTTTCACGAATTTTTCTCTGTAATTTGTTTTTTTATGTCATCAATTTTTGCTCAAATCCCTATTGCTTACTTCCTTCTGTTTGCTTTGAATTTCATCTTCTAGTTTAGTCTTTTTCTTGTTTAAGGTGGAAGCTTATATCATTTATCTTCCCTTTTTTCTGATACAGTTATTTAAAACTATAAATATCCCTCTAAGCATGTCTTTAGTTGTATCACATTCTATGCAAGATGTTTTCTAGATTCTTTTTATTTCTTATTTTTATTTTTTAGACAGGGTCTCATTTTGTCACCCAGACTGGAGTGCAGTGGCACAATCTTGGTTCAATGCAGCTCCTACCTGCTGGTCTCGAGTGATTCTCCTACCTCAGCCTCCCGAGTAGCTGGTACTACAGGCACGCACCACCATGCTCAACTCATTTTTTGTATTTCTTGTAGAGATGGGGTTTTGCCATATTGCCCAGGTTGGTCTTGAACTCCTGGCCTCAAGTGATGTGCCCACCGAGGCCTCCCAAAGTGCTGGAATTACAGGTGTGAGCCACCACCCCTGGACTTTCTAGTTTCTTTTTACAGATTTTTGACCAATGGGCTCTGTAAAGTGTGTTAATTTCCAAATATTTTGTGACCTCCAAATGTATTTGTGTTGACTTCTAGTTTAATTCCTCTATGGTCACACAACATCCTCTGCATGGTTTCAATCTTAAATTTATTGAGTATAGTTTTATAGCCTAACATATACTCTACCCTGGCGAATGTTCCAGGTATGCTTGAAAATAATTTGTATTTCTGTTGTTGGGTGGAGTTTTCTCTATCTATCTATCTATCTATCTATCTATCTATCTATCTATCTATCTATCTATCTATCTATCTATCTGTCTATCTGTCTGTCTGTCTGTCTGTCTGTCTCTCCCCCCCCCACCCAGGTCAAACTGGTTGATAACATTGCTGAAGTATCTTGTAACCTCAATGATGCTCTACCTAATTGACTTATCAGTGATTAAGAAGAGGCTATGAACAAAAGTTATTATTGTTGAACCACCTACTGATCCCCTCAATCATGTGAGTTTTCAGTGTATGTAACTTTGGGCAGTGTTGTTAGTGCCGATATGATAATTGTTACATATTCCTTATTAATTAACCCTTCTACATTAAATACTATCCTCCTTCCTCTCTAGCAATACTTTATCTTAAAGTCTCTTTATTCTGATGTCAGAATAGCCACTTCTGCTCTCTTCTGGATTCGCTGGATATAGCTTTTTCCATCTTTTCCTTTCAAACTATTTGTATCTTTTGTTCTAAAGTGTCTCTTTTGTAGACAATGTATAGTTGTTCATGTTTAAAAAACAACAGAATCTCCTAATCTCTTTTAAAAATTTGATATAATTGTCATATGGCTGGTTTTATGTCTGTCATTTTCCTGTTTTCTACATGTCTTATGTCTTACTAGTTCCGCTGTTCAATGTTAACTGCCTTATTTTGTGTTAAACAGATCTTTTCGTTATCCTATTTTAATTCTTTGGTTGTTCTTTTAATATTTTTTGAATTGTTTTCTTACTGGTGGTCCTAGTGCTTATAAAATACAACTTAAATGATCACAACCTCCCTCAGATTAACAATATATGTGTAACATGGCCTTTTATATGACTTGAAATCAATTTCAGAGAAGCAATTCTACTGCTCAGATAGTCCAGATTTCCAAAAGATTTTGAAGTCATCATCAATCCAGTCATGTTTATAAAAGGGACTGTGAGCCTGAGATAGCAGACAACACTACACACTAACGATTCTGTCTGTCTTGGACACAATGACACCATGACCACACTAAGTCATAGGGACCAGGATACAGGAACAATGATCCAGCCACATGGCTGACTACCATTACCATTAGAATGTTATAATTCCCTAAGAAGAATACAGTATTTCCTGGACAAAATGCTTACTGTGAGAATTCCCACTGGTCTGTGAGCATGGAATGGTGTAATTATTTCTGATACTTTCTCTTGTATTTCAAGGGGAATGTTTAAACTCTTTCATATGACATCCACATTTTGGTCTACGTGGGCCTGTGGAAATGGAGTAAAAATATGGGAAGATGAGAAATACACATGTCCAATTGTCAAACATGCATAAGAAAGGAGGCTTCACTGTGTATCTGCATATAAAATGTGCTAATTTATTACTCTACTGGGATGTCTCTGATATTATTCAAAATATAAATTGTGCAAAAATTCCAGGAGAGGAAAACAGGCCTCGAATAACTCACCAGGTTATTAACGCCTTACACTGTTTGGTTCAACAGACTTTGTAAAAACAATTCTAAGTTATTTAATAACACAACAAAAATAATCCAGGAAATTACACGTATTAAAAACTGGATGTTACCCTTGGAGTGCATCGTTTTGATCTTTCCTGGAGAAAGAAGCTGGTGCAAATGACAAAAACAGTCCTTCTTTGGTGTGGAGGTGAGAATTCCAAGCGGCAAAGTGTTGTCTTCCACCAATATCACTTCCGATCTATAAAGGGGAAATCAGGGAGTTGAGAAACAAAACATTCCTAATGGAATATTTTGTAACAAGAGGTTGGTTGTAAGGAATTCCCCAGAGATGTTCACTGGACCATCTGTATGACAAGAACGATACTTGGTACTTGAAACATGACAGTGTAGAAATAATTGTTTTCTGAAACATTGGTCTCAAAGTTTCCTCAGCATACCCAACACATCACCATTCACTATGACTAGGCTCTCTCCTTAAATCCATTAGAAACCCATTGAAGGGATATAAAAGTGGCCAGAAAAATCCACATTTTAAAAACTTGGAAATTTAATCATTTCACATCTAGGAATGTTTAATGCAGCATGTAGCTGAAGACAGTACTTCTGGGCACACAAAATTACTCTCTCAGCTGATGAAAAAATGAAAGACAAAGAAACTGATTAAATCCCAGTGACTGCCTGGCAAGCTAATTAAATTATACTATGAAGATTACATAAGTAACACCTATTTTTCAGTTCATAACTTTTTTCACTTAATAGAGAAATGAAAAGTGAAAACCCCAAATCTCCTTGGATTTTGACCACCTTATTGCCCTCAAGAGAGCAAGCATGACTTAGAAGATTACTGCAGCTCCAACAAAAGTGTGAATGGCTCAAGTGTAGGTATAGCTATTTCCCGCAATTCCACAACTCAAGTGCTGATTCCCCAGGGTCTGTTTACTATCAACATATTTATGTTGCCAATCAAGAACTCAGAGTTGCAATTTCATCTCCAAACTGGGTACCTACAGGTCACTGTCCAATTCAGTTTCTCTAGTGCATGTAAGCTGGTTAGTTTTCCAGTACCACAGTCCTTGCTGGGAGCACACAGCTGAACAAACTGAACTCTCCTTCCATATAGTTTGTTTAGGGCAGGTAACTGTGCTGGACCTCATGTTCAGAGGAGTTATTATTTAACGCATTGTTTTCCCAGGTTTTTCAACAAGATTAATTATTACAGTTATCAATGACACGTGCAAACTTCTTAAAAGGGACACTGTTTTGCCTCAGAAACAGGAGCACTCTGGAGTACACTTCTCTGGGACATACTGATCCACCCTATTAAGTCATGGAGACCAGCCCCCAACACAGCAATGCCCCAGGCTCCATGCTGCCCAGCACAGACAGTGCCTTATGGAGTATTACATAATTCCCAAAAAAGGGCAATATTTTAGTGACAAAACACTGAGCAACCTGACCTGGCCCTTGAAGGTGTAATGGTAAAATGAATTCCCACTGGTCACTGAGGATGGGATGGAAAAACCATTTCTGACATTTTCTGTCATGTCACATCTCAAGGGAAAGCAATAAAGTTTCATGTGAGGCTAGGTGCCTTGTGTTTGTTGACCTGTGGGAATAGGGTAAAGATGCAGAAACATGAGAACAATACATGCATATGTGTCTGCTGGTCCATCAAGCACAAGACAGTAGGATTCAGTTTATGTACCTATTAAATTAGCTAATATACCGCTCTCCTAGGATGTTTCCATTGTTATTCAACAATAGTCAATGTGTTTGTCTCTAGCTTCCATCAGTCCAAATACTGTCCAACATTTGCTGCCAGACAAATCAAATGTGCAACCAGACTATCAGTGTGCTCAAAGTTCCAAGAAGATGTTGGCCTGGTGAACATTCCATTCACAACAATGCATAGCATTTCCATCAATTCAACCACCTCAGGATTACTTTACCTTCAAAGGTCACCCAATGGATTGGGGAGGAAGAAGTCACAAAAAGAAGGGAATAAAGAAACAATGGTCTAAAAATCACTTATAGCACTCAACCTGCTTGAGAGTGGGAGCGTGGCAATTTGCAGAAGCTGCACAGAGCTACACCGTACTGATTCCACTCAAAGTGGTCACAGCAATGTAGGCAGGACACACACAGGTATGGTACTGTCCCGGGATATATGACTAGAAGAACTGTGCAGCGTGCAGAGAGGGAAAGGCGGCCTCTAAACCCTCTCACCATGAGCTGCTTCCCACCTCCTCTCAGCTCTCAGAGTGATGCTCACCAGGTGGTACTGCTGAGGACCTACTGGCATTTGGGCACCGCATACCTCTTGGTCACACCCAACTTTCCGCTGTCACACTGTTGAGGATCAGCCTCTCTGGCACTCTCCATGCTTCATGCCCACAGAAAGATCATCAGCAAGACTGAGAAAGCACAAAAATTCTGGAAAAGAACAAACAGAAGCCTCAGATGACTCACCAGATTAAGATCTTATAGTATGTGAATTAACTGACTCCATATAGCACCCGTTAAATTCCTAAATACTTAAAACAGTAATAACCCAGGAAAAAATTATCAAAAATTAGGTGTTACCTCAGCATGTTTCATTGTATTCTTTCTCAGTTGAGGAAGCTGGTAAAAGTGACATATCAGATCTTCATTTCTCACGCTTTTCAACAAGATCAGTTATTACAGTTATCAGTGACAAATACAAACTTCTAAAAAAAGGGCACTGTTAACCTCTGATCTTCATTGGTGTAAAGATTAAAAATCCACGCAACTCTAGTATCACATGGAACCTGCAAACCACAGGGGAAATTAGAGAAGTTGAGAAAGAAATCTTCCACATCGAATGGTTCCTGATAAGAATTTATGAGCAATTATGATACATACTCATTGACAAGGTGTATGTCCAGAAAAAAGTATACTTATTCCACAGAACAGGAGAATGTTTAAAGTCTTTTTCCCAAGACCTGTTCAGGTTAACCCTAAAGTCCACCTACATATCAATTAACAAGTATCTCCCTTAACATGCATAGGAAAATCCACTGATGAAATATGAAGATTAGCTAATAAAATCCACATAACATTCCAAGGACTGGAAATGTAATCATCTCACAACATCTACTTGAATCACTCAAATGTCTAGAATATTGCTTTATGCAGACAGAAAAAAAGGTCATAAATCTTGGGACTGGGTTAGCAAGCAAATTTAAACAAACTCTAAAATATTCTCACGGTTAGAAATCACTCTTTAATTTTCCAGATATTACCTCTACCTAAAAAAATTAATTGATAAGACCCACGCCATCTTTGGAACTGATGATCTAAATGACCTTAGTAAACTGCTCTCACTCAAAAGACTGTCACATCCAAGATAACTGTATGGATGGCTCTAAGGTAGGCACAATCATATCTCATGGGGTCTCACTACATATGTGCTGGTTTTCCAGGGTCTATTTACTACCAGTGGATGGATGCTACCAGCAAAGCACCAAAGGAATAGCCGTTTTATTAAAAAATGGGATATTTATAGACAACTGTCCAATTCATTTCCTTCAACATACGCAGGCAGATTAGCTTTCAAATACCCCAGTCCCTATGGGCACTGACCATCCACATCCCTCCATGTTTGCCTGTCCTGTGTGCTGGACCTCAGCACACGGAAGTGCTCTGGTCACTCATTTTTTTCAGATTTCAGTGAGTTTTTTTTTTTCTTTTTTTAAGTCATCGTCAATCCAGGATATGTGGCAGACACTGAGCACACAGCTTTCCATCAGCTTGGGGTACACTGACCCACACTATTCATCCAATTATGGAGACTGGCATCACAGTCAACGACTGGCCAATGGCTCACAAGCATGGCCAGGGTCTCAAAGTCATTGGAGTGTCACGACCTCCTAAGAGGAATGCCAGTATTTTCAGGACAGAATGCTTACGATGGGAGAATTCCTACTGATTCTTGAAGATGAGGTGATAGAAATATTCTCAACACTTTTCTTCATGTCACATCTCAAGAGGACAGAATAAAATATTTCATATGAAACCCAGTTCTTGGTTCATGTCACTCTGTGAAAACAGTACAAATACGCGAAGATGGTAAGTATGTATGTCCATTTGTCAAACATGCACAAGAAGGGAGGGTTTGTTATGTATATCAATATCAAATATACTAACATAACTCTACTAGGAGGTTTTTCATATTACTGAAAAGGGAGAACAAAAAAAAATTGGAAATAAAGGATAATGAAAGCTTTGGATGATTCACCAGATAATTAATGCCTCACCCTGTTATTAACAGATCATTCACAAGACTGATTATCTACTTGACTACAGAAAAATTACAAAATAAGCCATAAAATGTAAATTTATTCAAACTTGGATGTTACCTTTGAAGTACATCCTTTTGTTCTGCCCCAGGCAACGGAACAGGTAAGAGTGACAAGATCAGCATTTCTTTGGGATGGCAGTGAGAATTCCATGCAATTCCAAAATCACTTCCGTTCTGCAAGGCACAGGTGACATTACAGGTGTTTTGAAACAAAACCTTCCCAACTGAATGACTCCTGACAACAGTTTGTAATTAATTAGTCATAGTCACTTGACTATCTCCATAACTAAAAAATCTGCTTGTTGCTTGGAACAGGGTGAGTATAGAAAATCAATGTTTCCAAGATTTTGGTCTCAAAGGCCAAAGGCCCCCTGAGTATTACTAATATTAGAATCTCTCTTAAAATATACAAAGACTTAATGAAGGAATATACCTATTAGCCAACAATATCCTCCAAAAATCCCTAGAATTAGAAACTTCATTATTTCACATTAAAATGTTTAATGAAGCATCTAATTTAATCTGTCATCTAATGTTTAGAAAATTGCTCCCTGAGTGATAGGAAAAAGAAAAACAAATGCTGTTCTAATACTTGAGACTGAGTTAGCAAGCAAATTCCAGCAGGTAGTAAGAAAATCCCATGAATACAACCCACTCTTCGATTTTCACGTATTTCTTTTGGTGAATGAATAAATAACAAGCAAAGACTGACAATTTCTTTCTAATTGACTACGTAACATACCTATACATGCTGATCCTCACTAAGAATGCTGTGGCATCTATGCAAATAGTGTCAATGACTCAAGCGCTGGCACAGCTAGTTCTACAATGCTCACTCCTTGGACACTGGTGCCACCGAGCCTGATTACTAGGAGTTTGAATGCTGCCAGCCATGCACTTAAATCATTGTCATGCAATCCCAAAGATATACAGGCCTCTGTACAATTCATCTATCTGCTCTAACATATGCGGATGGGTTACTCTTGGTAGCAGTTGCTGACCAAACTGAACGCCCTCCATGTGTTTGCCTGGTATGGTCCCTGTGCTGAACCTCAGCTCACAGAAGTGTCTTGGTCACTCGTTTGGTTCAGATTTCCAAGGTTTCCATTTTTTTAAAGTCATCATTGATCAAGGCACATTTATAAAAGGGACCTTGAGTCTGAGATATGTGGCAGACACTGAACACACATCTTTCTGTCACCTGGGAACTTGCCAACTCACGTTATTCAATTACAGAGACCAGCAGCACAGCCAGTGACCAGCCTCATGGCAGACCAGAACAGCCCGGGTCTCACTGTCATGGGAGTGTCATGACTCCCGAAGAACAATGTCTGTGCTTTCAAGACAAAATGCTTACCAAGATTAGAATTCCCCCGGCCCTTGAGAATGGGAGGGCAGAATTATTTCCATTACTTTCCTTCAAGTCACACCTCAAGTAGAAGGAATAAACTCTTTTACATGAAATCTAGTTCTTCGTCCACATTAACCTTTGAAAATAGAAAAAAAATTATAGAAAAGTGCAAATGTACATTTGCCAACCATGCAAATAGTGTACATATACAACAGGTTTACTATGCACAAGTACATAAAATATACTAAATTATTTCGCTAGTAGGGTATTCTAATGTTATCTGAAAGCAGAGGAAGTATAAAAATACTGGACAAAGGACACAGAAACCTCAGATGACTAACCAGATTATTAGGGCCTCACACCGTGTGGATTAACGGACTGCTCGAAAAACCAATTCTAATCTTAATTGCGAAAATAAAATAATAGAACTCATCCAGGACAAATGCACTTACAAAAAATTGCAGTATTACCTCTGAAGTGTGTTGTTTTCATTGCTAGACAAGGAATCTGGTACATGTGACAAAATTAGCAGGTTAGTGGAGCAGCAGTAGGAATTCCATGCAATTCCAGTATTACCTCCAATATGCGAAGCACAGTGAGGAAGTAAAGAAGTTGACAAATGAAACCCTCATAATTAAAAGAGTTTCATTTGTCAACTTTCTTACTTTCATAATTACTAATGACGGGTTATAGGAAATAAACCATAGATCTTCACTTGCCCACATGGTACGAGAATAAAGATTATGCTCACTCCCTGGAAATGGGTAGTACTAAAGTCAGTTTTCTATGACCAAAGGCCTCCGTTAGCATCACACAATAAAACTAGGATCTCCCTTTAAACATCTATGAAACTCACCAATAAAAAACATGAATATCAGGCAATGAAATCCACATAAAACTCCATGAATTGAAAATTTAATCATTTTACAATTAGAAATGTTTACTATAGCATCTACTAGAATTCCTCAATCAAATGTCTAAAAAGCTTCTCTTTGAGTGACAGGCAAAATTTAAATTCCAATTTTTGTGATAAGGTCAATAAGGAAATTAAATGTTAGTAATGTAAAATAAGGAAATTAAAATGTTAAGACTTTCCACGAATAGAAAGTGCCATTCAATTTCCATATATTCTTTTATTTAATAGATAAAAGCTACTCTTCAATTTCCAAATATTTCCTTTACTTAATAGATAAATAATATATAAACTCATAATACCTTTTGCACTGTCCACCTAATGAACCTGAGAGACTGACCTCACACACAAGATTATAGCACCTAAAACAATGTGTAAAAGACTCTAGGGTACGCAAAACTGTTTCCCATCGTCCCCTCTACTCTTGAGTAGTTCTGTTTACTATGAGAGTATGGACACTGCCAGCCAAACACTGAAAGAAATGCCATATAATCCCCAAAGATATATGTACACAAACATATATAAATACATACACACACATACAGACCTCTGTACAATTCATGTGCTGTAACCTATGTGAGTGGGTTTGTTTTCCAATACCACAGGCCATTTTGGTACCAGCTGCTGACCAAACTGAACTCTCTCCACGTGTTTGCCTGGCATGGTCCCTGTGCTGGACCTCAGTTCACAGAACTGGCACAGAAGTGGTTTGGTCACTCGTTTTGCTCAGATTCCGAGATCCATTTTTAAGTCATCATGATCCAGTCACATTTATTAAAAGGGACTTTGAACCTGAGATACGTGGCAGACACTGAGCACACAGCTATCTGTCACCAATGACCCACACTATTCAATCATGGAGACCAGCATCACAGTCAATGACCAGCCCATGGCTGACTGGCATAGCCAGAGTCTCACCATCATTGGAGTGTCCTGATTCCCTAAGAAAAAATGTTGTTATTTTCAGGACAAAATGCTTTTTAACATGTGAGAAATTCCCATGGGGACTTGTGGGTGGGAGGCAGAATTATTTCCTATACTTTTCCTTCACGTCTCCACATGGAGAAAAAAAATAAATTCATCCGTATGAAGCCCAGTTCTTGGTCCACTTCATTCTGTGGGAAGAGATTATATACATGGGAATGAGAAGTATACATGTTCATTTTTTAAGTAAGACAGGAGGCTTTACTATGTAACTATATGTAAAGTATCAGAATTTTATTACACTTATAGGATGTTTCTGATGTTATTTAAAGTTGAAGAAAATGTAAAATGTTAAAAGAAACTGAAGGCTCAGATATCTCATAAGAATACTGAATGCCTAATACTATTTGTATTAAGTGACTCCTTGTACATCTAATGAAATTCTCAATTACTTAAAAAAACACAAACCACAAAAATAAATTTACTAAAAGTTGGATGTTACCTCAGGAGAATATTGTTTTGTTGCCTCCCAGATGAGTTAGCTGGTACAAATGACAAAATCAGCGCATCACTGGTTAAAGTCCACGGAATTCTGTGACAACCAATCTACAAAGTACAGGGGCAGTTAGGAAAGTTGTGAAACAACATTTGCCAAATGAAATATTGTTACAAGCAGTTATAAGAATTAACTTTAGACATTCATTAGACTGTATGTATGACAAGACTATACTCACTTCTTTGATCAGACTGATACAGACAGAATTTTTTCTATTCTATTCTATTCTGTCTATTCTATACAGATAGAATATTTTCTATCCATGTCAGTGCTTTCTCAGCACACTGACTTCAAATTTATTTATTCTATAGCTAGCACATTTCTTTAAACACAGAGAACACAGTGTGCACTATTGTCAGAGAACCTATGTACATCCTGATATGCAGGAAATCATTTCTAGATTACTCATGATACCGAATACAATGTAAATACTGTGTAAATAGCTGTTACACTGTGTTTTTTAGGGAATAATGACCAAAGAAAAACACTGCACTTGGCTGGGCACAGTGGCTCATGCTTGTAATCCCAGCACTTTGGGAGACCGAGGCAGGCAGATCACTTGAAGTCAGGAGTTTGACACCAGCCCGGCCAACAAAATGAAACCCCATCTCTACTAAAAACACAAAAATTAGCCAGGCATGGTGGTGGGCGCCGGTAATCCCAGCTATTTGGGAGGCTGAGGTAGAAGAATCGCTTGAACCCAGGGGGCAGAGGTTGTAGTGAGCTGAGATCATGCCACTACACTCCAGCCTGGGCGATAGAGTAAAACTCTGTCTCAAAAAAAAAAAAAAAAAGAAAAGAAAAAGACTGTACATCTTCAGTACAGATGAAACCATACAATTTTTTGTCAAATATTTTCAATCCATGGTTAGTTGAATCTGAAGATGCAGGCCCCATGGAGAAGGACAGCAAACTATATATGAAATTGTTTGCTAAATTAATAGAAAAAAAAAGAGAAAAACAAAACAACTGGTTCAATCTTGGCAGCTGGGTTGGCAACTGATTAAAATACACTTGGAAGATACCACATGAAATTGCTTCACTTTAAGAAAATGAGAAGTAAAACAAAAGACATTTATGCAGCCAACAAACATGAAAAAAGGCTCATCATCATTGGTCATTAAAGAAATGCGAATCAAAACCACAGTGAGACACCATCTCATGCCAGTTATAATGGTGACCATTAAAAAAGTCACGAAACAACAAATGCTGGAGAGGATGTGGAGAAATAGGAACACTTTTACAGTGTTGTTGGTAGTGTAAATTAGTTCAACCATTGTGGAAGACAGTGTGGTGATTCCTCTAGGATCTAGAAGTGGAAATACCATTTGATTCAGCAATCCCATTACTAAGTATATACCTAAAGGATTATAAATCATGCTACTATAAAGACACATGCACACATATGTTTATTGCAGCACTATTAACAATAGCAAAGACCTGGAACCAACCCAAATGTCCATCAATGATAGACTAGATAAATAAAATGGGACACATATACACCATGGAATACTATGCAGCCATAAAAAAGGATGAGTTCGTGTCCTTTGCAGGGACATGGATGAAGCTGAAACCATCATTACAGCAGACATGAGAACAGAAAACCAAACACCACATGTTCTCACTCATAAGTGGGAGTTCAACAATGAGAACACATGGACACAGGGAGGGGAACATCACACACCAGGGCCTGTCAGCGGGTCAGGGGCTACGGGAGGGACAGCACTAGGAGAAATACCTAATGTAGATGATAGGTTGATGGGCGTAGCAAACCACCATGGCACATGTATACCAATGTAACAAAACTGCATGTTCTGCACATGTACCCCAAATAATAAATAAATAAATAAATAAATAAATAAATAAATAAATAAGAAGTAAAAACTCATAATATCCTTGGATTCTGACCATCTCATCACCCTCAAAAGGTCAATCAGTAGTTCAGGCAAATGTGGGAACAGACCAAGTATAGGCAGGAACATTTCTCTTGGGTCTCACTGTTCTGCTTCCCAGGCTCTGTTTCTATGGTATATAGATGCCGCCAACCAAACTCTCAGAGTTTCCATTTTACCCTACAATTGAATTTTTATACACAAATGTAAAATTCATTTCCTCCAATAAATGCACTCAAGTGGTTTTCAAATACCCCAGTCCCTGTGGTTACTTCTAACTGACCAACTAGTTGCAATTCCAGGCAACATGTTTGACTGGAGTGGTCTCTGTGCTGGACCTCAGCTCACAGAAGTGGTACAGAAGTGTTTTGGTCACTCATTTTGTTCAGATTTAAATTAGATCAATCTTTAAGTCATCATCGATCCAGGCACATTTTAAAAAGGAACTTTGAGTCTGAGATATGTGACAGATACTGATCACACAGCTTTCTGTTACCCTGGGACATGCTGACCCACACTATTTAATCATGGAGACCAGCATCACTGTCAATGGTCAGCCCCCTGGAGGACTAGCATAGCCAGGGTCCCATCGTCATTGGAGTGTCATGATCTCTTAACAGGATGTCAGTATTTTAAGGACAAAATGTTTACCATGGGAAAATTCCTACTGGTCCCTAAGGACAGGAAGCAGAATTATTCCCATTACTTTCCATCATATTACGACACAAGGAAACAATAAACTTGGCCATATAAAATGTAAAATGCAGTTTTGGTCTGCATCATCTTGTGAGAAGAGATTTTATATATATATATATACACACACACACACACGCGCGCGCGCGCGCACACACACACATCCATTTTTTAAAATTTGTATAGACGAAAGGTTTCATTATTAATCAGCATAGAAAACATACTAATTTGTAACTCTTGGAAATGTTTTAAATGTTATCCAAAGTACAGAGAAGAAAAAAATCTTAAGGAAAACTGACGCTTCAGATAGCGCATCAGATTAATAATTCCTAACACTGTATTAACCTATTGTTGACAAAACCAAATCACTGACAGTTTTAAAAATAATAAAAATAAATTTACTAAAAATTGGATACTACCTCAGGAGTGTGTTGTTCTGTTTCCTCCCAAATTAGTTAACTGGTACAAATGACAAAATTAGCCCTTCACTGGTTCAGTGGTAAAATTCCATGGAATTGTATCTCACCCAATCTATAAAGTGTAGAGGAAATTAGGGAAGTTATGAAACAAAATTTGCCAAACGGAATATTTAGTTACAAGGGAATATAAGAATTCACACTAGACACTCACTGGACTATCCAATGAATGACAAAATTATTCTTACATCCTTGATCACTATAACATATAAACTTTTTTTTTCTAAATCTGAGACATTAGTCTCAAAGTTCCCCTGGCATCCCCAATCAAAAGCATTTATTACAATTAGGATATCTCTTCAAACACAATGGAAACCTTTGAGGATATATGAATATAGCCAATGAAATCTATGTAAAAAAGAATTTGAAATATAATCTAAGTTTATTTGAGGCAGCATATAGTTGAATCCAGCACTCAAATAAAAACAATGGTTTGCTTCTTCATACGAAAAACCAAAATCGAAAAAACAAAAAAAACAATCCTAGGGGCTGAATTGGCAAGAACATTAAAATACACTAGAATAGTCTACTTAGAGTACCATTTTTTTTTTTAAATTTCCATGTAATTGTTTCACTTAATTGAAAATAAAAAGTAAGGTCGGGCATGGTAGTTCATGCCTGTAATCCCAACACTTTGGGAGGCTGTGGTGGGTGGATCACCCGAGGTCGGGAGTTTGAGACCAGCCTGGCCAATATGGTGAAACTCCATCTCTACTACAAATACAAAAATTAGGCAGAAGTGGTGGTGGGCACCTGTAATCCCAGCTACTCGGGAAGCTGAGGCAGGAGAATCTCATGAATCCAGGAGGTGGAGGTTGCAGTGAGCCGAGACTGTGCCACTGTACTCCAGCCTGGGCAACGGAATGAGACTCCATCTCAAAAAAAAGTAAAATCTCATTATCTTTGGATTTGGATGTTGACCCTCTCATTACCCTCAAGAGACTGATCATCAACCAGAAAATTCTGCGAGCTCAGACAAATGTGTGAATGGCTCAAGGGTAGGTGCAATAACGTCCCTTGAGTCTCACTATGTCCTGGTTCCCCAGGGTCTACCAACTGTTTCCATAAATGCTGCCAAGCAAGTACAAAGAGACTTGCTATGTCAAACCACAGTTGGATATTTACAGACCTGAGAACAATTCATTTGCTCTAATATATATGGGTAGGTTAGTTTTCCAATACCCTAGTCCCTGTAAACTCACTCCCTCCTCCTGTTTGCCTGGCATGGTCCCAGTGCTGGACCTCAGCTCACAGAAGTGGCACAGAAATGATTTGGTCACTCATTTTGTTCAGATTCCGATGAGATCCATTTTTTTATAGTCATCATCGATCCAGGCACATTTATAAAAGGGACCTTGAGTCTGAGATATGTGGCAGACACTAAGCACATTGGTCACTGGGACACACCGACCCACACTATTCAATCATGGAGACCAAGATCACAGTCAATGACCAGCCCATGGTGGACTAGCATAGCCAGAGTCTCATGGTTACCAGAGTGTTACGATTCCCTAAGAGGAAATGTTGGTATTCTCAGGACAAAAGGCTTACCAATATTAGAGTTCCCACTGGCCCTTGAGGATGGCATTAGTCCCAATACTTTCTTTCCTTCTTGTCTTGCCTCAAAGGAAGAATAAATTCATCCATATGAAACCCAGTTCTTGGTCTATGCTGTCCTGTTGGAAGAGAGTATGTCTATGAATCTGAGAAGCATACATGGACAATTTTTAGCCGTGCTTAAGACAGGATGTTTCACTATTAACATATATGGAATACACACTAACTTATAACTCCTGTTGGACATTTCATGTTATTCGAAATAGAGAAAAGAACAAAATCTTTAAAAAAAAAAGAGACTGATGCCTCAGCTCATCAGAATATTAATGTCTGAAACTGTTAGTATTAACCAATTCTTTGTGAACCTAAATTCTTGAGTACTTAATAAAAATAACTCACAAAAATAAATTCACTAAAAATTGAATGTTACCTTAGAAGTGGTATTGATGTGCTTCTTCACAGCTACATCAGCTGGTACAAATGTCAAAATTAGCACTTCACTGGTTTGGCAATGAAATTCCATGGAATTCTATCTCACCCAATCTACAGAGTACAGGAGAAATTAGGAAAGTTGTGAAACAAGATTTGCTTAATGAACTATTGTGTTATAAGCAGTTATAAGAATTCACATTAGACACTCATTGGACCATCTGTATAACAAGAACAATTATGCTCATGTCTTTGATCGAAATTGTATGGAAATAATGTTTTCTAAAACATTTATCCCAAAGTACCTCCAGCACATACCCTTCAAAATCATTTATTACAACTTTTAAATAATACAGTGGTCACACATGGAGGACATATGAAAGTAGACAATGAAATCCATGTGAAAATCCAAGAATTTGAAATACCACTTCTAAAAATGTTTGCTGCAACATGTGGTGGAAACCAGCACTGAACCATGTGTTAAATAGCTTGCTTGGTTGATGGGAAAACAAAAAAGAAACAGCTGTTTCAGTCCTTGTGACTAGGTTGGCAATCAAATGAAAATGTACGATAAGATTTCATACATTTATATCTTATATGATACAAATATCTTATATTTCATATAAGTTTCATATATTTCATATAATTTATTCTTTAATTTCCATGCGATTATTTCACTTAAAAGGAAATGAGAAGTAAAAACTCATGATGTCTTTGAACGCTGAAAACTCTTTGCCATCAAGCAACAAATCATCAACCAGAATATTCTGAGCGCTCACACAAACGTCCGAATGGCTTGTGGGTTTGCACAATAATTTCCTGTAAATCCTGTAACTCCTGTGCTGGCTCCCCAGTGTCTGGTTACTGCAGTGCATAGATGCTACCAGCCAAGCACTAGAAGAGTCTCCATCTTACCCCCAACCACAAATTGGTAGGTAACTGTCCAGTAATTTCCTCTACTGTATATGAGCCGGTTAGTTTTCTAATTCCACAGGCCGTTTTGGTACCAGTGCTGACCAAACTGAAGGCCCTCCTTGTGTTTGTCTGGCACGGTCCCTGTGCTGGACCTCAGCTCACAGAAGTGGCACAGAAGTGATTTGGTCACTCATTTTGTTCAGATTCCGATGAGATCCATTTTTAAGTCATCATCGATCCAGGCACACTTATAAAAGGGACCTTGAGCCCGAGACATGTGGCAGACACTGAGCACACAGCTGCCACCTTTGGAGGCATGGAGACCAGCATCACAGTCAAAGACCAGCCCAGGCTGATGAGCACAGCCAGGGTCACATGGTCACTGCACTGTCATGACCCCCTAAGAGGAAATGCTGGTATTCTCAGGACAATATGCTTACCAATATCACATTTTGAGGTTTTGATGTCAGATTTTTCCATGATACACTCCATTCTGTCACTTTTGGAGGTTAAAAAAAAAAAACTTTCATATGGAAATCTGTGCTGGTTCCACAATGAACTACAAGGATAGAGAAAAAGCGAGCAAAGATGTGTAACACAGACATTTACCATTCAAATGGCCTGGGGATCCCCACGCTGTAGCCCTTCTCACATGCATAGCTTCCGTGTTCCCTACACTGAAGAATCCCCTCCCACACTTCATGAAGCTACTGGCTGGTTGACCCAGGTTATCCCGTATGACTGAGTTGCCTGACCTAGGATACTCTCTTCATTCCTGTGGTCCAGAGTCTCCTCCCCCTACATAGAGATACCCGGCATCTGGAAGTACAGAAAACCCTTCGCCATCTCAGGAAGTACCAGTAGGCACGAGTTGGAGGACTGGCAACGTCAGATAAACTAAGTGATCAAAACAGCGCCCCCTCAGCTCTGATAGCAAGATTGCCTATGAAAACATGGCCTACAAATGTAGGACAGGACATTCAAATTAAACCTAAACAGGGCACACGCCTGCTAAAACAAAACATTTGAATAGATTCAGATTCCCCTAACTTAAAAAGGAAAAAAAAATGCAGGATAAACTAAAACATTACCCATCTAACAAGAACTGGAAAAATCACAATTAGAAGGAAAATCATACGCAGGATGAGAAAAGACAGTTAACTAATCCAACCTCAAGATTAACCAAATGTTGTACTTATCTGAAGAAGTTAAAAACAGTCACGGTAAAAATGCTTTGGCAAATAATTATAAAGCTTATTGAAAAAAGTAAAAAAGTAGAAATCTCAGAGAGGTAGTAGTAGTTTTTTTTTTTTTTTTTTAAAAGAACCAAGTGAAAAAACAGAACTGAAAATTTCAAAAATAATAGAGTAGTGATTAAGTGAATTTAGAATAGAACAATCAAATTTAGCTAATCTAGACAAGAAAGAAAATACTCTGGAAAAAAAAAAACACAGCTTCATAGATCTGTGTGTGACACGGAGACATGAGGTTGAAAATAATTATAATATTATTCTTTTTTTTTTTTTTTAGACAGAATCTCTGTTGCCCAGGTTGGAGTGCAGTGACATGATCTTAACTTGCTGCAGCCTCCGCATCCCAGGATCAGGTGATTCTCTTGCCTCAGTCTCCCAAGTAACTGGGACTATAGGCGCACAACACCATGCATGGTTAATTTTTGTATTTTGTATTTTTAGTAGAGATGGGATTTTGCCCTGTTGGCCAGGATGGTCGTGATCTCCTGACCTCATGATCTGCCCACCTCGGCCTCCCAAAGTGCTGGGATTACAGGCGTGAGTCACTGCGCCCAGCCGGCAGTCACAGACTTTAGATTGGAAATTAAATCCCATATCGTGCTCACTGAAACGTGAACACAATGGATAAATCAAACCATCACAAGAGTACATGCGAGACATCTATACAGGTGAAAACAAGAATTTTATCCCCCAAAACACCTGCACACAAAGAAGTATGGTAGGACAGAAGTCCAAGTCTAGATATGAAACATTGCACCCGGAATTATCTGTGGGAGGCAGGGCTGTGCCAATGGCTTACCTACGCCTCTCTGGAAAACACAACCATCCTGGAAATGGAAGCATGTCTTCTAGGCTCCATTTTCTGACTCTTTAACAGAACTCATAGAAAAACCTTGACGAGCTACAGGAAAAAAAGCCAACAAACCACGGATAAAGTCAACTAAGTATTATACAAATAATTAGCATAACTGGAAACTGTTCCAGCTTTACAGCACAATCTTTTGGATTATTTCTCCAGAGATTAAAAAAAAAAATAAGTGGTTAAATATTTTGTGACTTGAGTGTGAGAGAAAATGACATCACTGAATATAATCACACAAGCACTGACCCCAATTCAAGGTAACACCTATCACTGACATGCACATTTGGTCCCTTACCAAAAGAAGAAGAGGCTATGTTGCAAACCATGTTGGTGTATCTTCTAAAGCCAGAAGAGGCAAAAAACCATGAAGATATATTAGAACACCAACAGTACAGGAAAATGACAAGTCTTCTTTCTATGCAACTCCATACTCTCTTACATATGCGATCTGTATCTGCACTGGAAGCATATCAAATCGAAGTCCACATTTAAACAGAAAAGGTATATGCACAAACAAAAATGAAACAGAGTATTTCTTGTAGGATCCTCCTGGTTTCACTGCTTTTTCTCTTATTCTGACCAGTGGCCGAGTATAGCTGTGCAACTTAGAAGAGTAATGACAAATAGGAAGAGACATGCACTCCTCCGCCACTGTGTTAGTTATTGATGTGGTGGGTAAAATGGAAAACGGAGGGTCTCTGCAGAGAGATGCTTAGGGAGCCCACAGCCACAGTCCTCCAAACTGGGGAGTCTTCTGTGGCTGCAGAAGCAGCAACTCCAAGTACCTGCTGAAGTCAGAAATGGAGGAAAAAAGAGGAAAAAAAAACAGGCAGAGCCACTTTCCTCAAACTGGCAGGGGCTCCAGGCGGCCTGTGGCAGCAGCAGTGGCAAAAATCAGTCAGACTCCACCTGGCAAGGCGAAGGGGCAACAGAAGTAGGAGACACAGTGAGGAGCACAGGCCAGGCCAGGCACACGGGGCTCATACAGGCAGACAGCGTGCTTCACTTGCTTGTGCAGGCGTTCACCTCGGAGGGCCAAAAAAGGGCCTTTCAGGTTCTCCCTAATGGATATATGCACACCCTACTACTTACTATGGTTTATGGCCAGAAGCCTGGCCATCTTGGGTGATATGCCTAGCATTCACTGGGAACATTATGTGGATAATATTCTACTAAATTCCACAAATTTAAGCCCTCTGAAGAAACCGACTTCCTCGAAGGGATGAGGGAATGCAGAGCTAGGACAAGTCAAACCTGGCCATGCAGAGACAGGCTACCCGCTAACTCTTCCTGTGCCACAGGCACATTCACCTGCTCCTGCATACAGTATGTGTGCTACCCTGCCCTCACAGAGAGGAATCCTTCACACAAGGAATCTCCTGTGCACAGGAGGCCGCACTCCCCTGCGACTCCCTTTGCCCAAAGGGGACCCCATCCTAAGGCTGGACAAACCCCTCAATGTAACCTTCGTCAACAAATGGAAGTGTTCCCTCTCTATCTACCCTCTGTTGGAGCAATATGCCAGACCTCAGTTCAATGAGGATGACGGTATAGAGTTTTCACTCATTTTGTTCAGCTTTCAAAGGAATGCATGTATAAAGGTCATCATTGATCCATGCACAGTCTTTGTACCTACAAAGATGGAATATCAAAAGGTTTTGGAAAATGGACATTTACCATCCTGAGGGGTCCACCAGCTTCTGAAGAAGCTCATGCCACATGTGCCGCACGTGCTCAGGGGCTCCCCACCATCTCCAGGAATCCCCCAAGACAAAGATCATCCATCGTAGCCTGTGGCCTTCTTCCATGCCAGACCACCTAGGAATTAGAGGCAAAACAGGTGTGCTTGAGAAAGGCAAGCAGGTACACAGGTCTCAAGGGCCATGCCATTCATTCCGTTGTGGTGCATCCTGTACCTACTTCCCACAGGCTACTACGGAAGGAACCAGAGGCGCTATAATTTGTGGGTGTGGTCCGGTTTAGTAACACCTAAATTTTGCTGACAGCCATGAGTGAGAAGATACAAACATCCATTGCTTCACACAGTTAAAAATAACTACAAACCTTTGTAGGTTTGCAATGCTTGTAACTAAGGTCTGGTATTCCAAGAACCATTGCCAGTGATCAAGGAACATATTTCAAAGGCTCACTAATCCAAGATGGGGCAGAAAAGTAGACTATGACCTGACAATTTCATCTGTGCTACAAACCACAATCTGTTTTCTGCTAGAAAGCAGAATTTATAAAAAAGAAAATGGTGTGTTAAAGAAACAAATTAAAACTCTCGAGAGAAATCCTTGCACTTAAAACCTGAATGATGGTTTCATGGAAGCTCTGCATGGCAGGAATGAGGGCCCCTGTGTAAGGGAAAAGTTGGCCTGTGAATGTCTGCTGGACATAAAGGGTCCAATGGGAGCCTTGCAGATACAGAAAATTATCCAACACTGCCTTGATATTGGACACAGGTCCACATGGGATACCCTAATTTTGTCACACAAGCCCTGGGCAGTGAATCCTGCAATAAGATTTAGGAAGAAAACTGCCTTTGACCTTAGGCAGGAGATCAACACTGCCCCAAACCTGACCCCTAACGTACTTCTTGTTAAAGAGCCCCAAGAGAAGTGTCCACAATGACCAGACAGTGCCCCCAAAACAGTGGAAACTCCAGTAGCACTAGGATAGCAGAATGGCCCAGACTTAGCACTGCAGGGAGTACTAGTACAACCACAAGGACACGAAATATAAAAAAAAAATACCTTCTGAAAAAGTTTCTGGATCACTGAGATTATTGCAGAAAGAAGAGATTGACACCAGACTTAATAGGTAGGAGAGAATAGGGCCACTTACACCAATATATTTTGGTTTTGTTGCTGTTCACTTGAGCTACCATCCACACTGCTGTTATATCACCACACTTAATGCTGGGATAACCACAACATTTTTTTTTTTTCTGATATTGACCCGACATACTCCAATAAAATGTTCCCTGGAGAAAAACATGTGACTGGGGACGGAACAAAGACTGCCAGGAAACAAAAGCCATCTGTGGAAAGGCCCTCCCATGTAGACATCAGATCATATTCCATTCCCAGCACCCCAAAGCCAACATGGCATTTGAGATGTGCAGTACACACTCGCAAACGTGGCTGACCATCCCCGTCTTAGGGTACCAAGTCAATACATGCATGGCGCCTTCTCATCCCCACCTGGAGTAACCATCGCTGGCCGTGGGATTCAGTTTCTCCGGAGGACATACAAATCACTCATGGAGCCAATCCACAGGATATTCTCCAGAAAGAGAATAAGCACCACTGACCTCTTCACAACTGACTTCCACTGCTGCTACAAAAACACCACAGGCACTAAAAAGTCCTCAGCCATGAGAAAAATGAGCCAAAGAACAGCAAGGGGGTGGCCTTGGGCTCTTCCCAACCACAAGGAGCTATCTACCTCTGGGGGACAAGGGAACCCAGAGCCAGCACTCAAGGACAAACCTGGCCACACAGTGGCGGGTTACCGGCTAACTCTTCTGTGCTACCTGCACATTCCCCTAGTCCTGCAGACAGTGTGTATGCTGCCCCAGCCTCACAGAGAGAAGGCCTTCACACAACGAATCTCCTCGGCACAGGAGCGCCTACTGCCCCATGACTCCCTATGATCCAAAGTGGACCCCATCCTAAGCCTGGATGGATGGCTTAGTGCTACCTGCATCAACAAATGGAAGTTGTCCTTCTCTCCAGCCCCAGCTGGAGCCATGTGCCGGACCTCAGTTTGATGAGGACGACGGTATAGAGTTTTCACTCATTTTGTTCAGCTTTCCAAGGAATGCATGTATTGAGGTCATCATCGATCCATGCACAGTCTTTATCCCTACAAAGAAGGAACATCAGGGGCTTTTGGAAAATGGACATTTACCAACCTGTGGGATCCACCAGCACCAAAGGAGACCAGATTCCACTTGTCAAGGGGCTCCCTGCCATCTCGATGGATCTTCCAAGATGAAGACTGTCCCTCGTAGCCACTGGCCTTACTTCCATTGCCACAACTCCTGGGAAGTGCAGAGGAAAAACAGGTGTTCTTCAGAACGGCAGGCAGGCACACATGTCAAAAGGGCCAGGCCATTCAATTCACTGTGGTGTATCCCATATGTACTTCCCACAGGCTACTGCCCTTTTGGGATGGGTGTATGGGTCTACCCAGGAACGAAGATATCAGGCATGTGTTAATTTTGAAGGCACTATCAAGCTACAGAGCCCTAAGTGTAAGAACTCACTCAAAACCACTCATTTGCCACCACTGACTCAAAAGCCCTCCTCTTGGTCATCAGAGAAGACAAAGGCCACAGGGCTACTTAAATGAGGAGAGTTTTGGGGAAAAACTCTTCCAGTACAAACGGCAATTTTCCTTCGGTCTTGAAGACTTTTCACCCTGGGCTACTTCAACACTTTTCAGATTGAGAAAAACGTTCAATAACAACTTAACCGCTACCTCAGCGTCTTCCTCACAGGTGCAGCTCAGGGATCCAGAGGAGCACCAGACACACTGACTCCCACAGGGCTTCTAAGGCACTGTGGCTGAGAACACCACACATTTTAAGGCACTTTCCTATGAACATGGCCGCACAGTCTAAAACCTATGCATCACTGCCTGTGGACACTAGCCCTGTCCTACAACAAGATGACTATTTCACAAAGAAGACTGCTGGGAAGCATGAGGAGAAATTAGAAAATAACCTAACATCATGAGCCACTACGGTAATTAAGCACAGAGACCTTCCTGGACCACCAAGGAGTAGAGATCTCCAGGATGCGGGAAGTCACACTCTTACAATCAGGCACGTTGACTGCACTGAGGTGCCTGAGCAGTTCAGAGGCAAAGTATGCACAACCTAGGATGGGTAGAAACCCTGGGCCAATATAAGCTCAAATGCCTAATGGAGACAAGCATCTCACACAGGGTCCAGAACACAGACCAAGTCAGTCTGAGGAGTTGCAGAAGCACGTGGACCTGCAATCACATTCCTGTCCCAGCACCCTGCGGTCATCATGAAACGAAACGTGGGCACCCTACAATGTCTGAAAGAGGCCCACAGTCATCACTCCACGACCCACATGGAATGCTGTCCAGTAAATGCACATGCAGGCCTCTCCCCTTCCCACTGCCAAGACCCTTCAGGGGCGATGGGACTGGTTTCCTCCTAGGGACATACAAGTTCAACATAGATACCCGCTCTGGGCTCCTCTGCAGAAAGCAAATCAGCATCGCCATCCTCCTGAGGACTGCCTGCCCCTACTGCTACCCAAACACCATGGGAACTCCCACGTCTCCAAATGAGGATGAAAGTGAACCAAAGAAGTGCCCAGGAACAACACTGCTGTCTGCCCATGCAGAAGCCACTGTCTTCCTCAGGGGAGTGCAGGAGCCAAGGAGTGTGAATCAAGGACACACACAGCCACACAGAGGGAAGCGCTTCAACCAAGCTGTCTCTCAGCCACAGAAGTCCAAAATGCCCAGCTACTCCACTTCACCCAAAGACGACCCCATCCCAAGTGTTGACACAGCCCGTGTCAACAAATGAATGTTGTCCCTCTCTCTAGCCCCTGATGGAGCAATGTGCTGGACCTCAGTTCGACGAGGATGACGGTATAGAGTTTTCACTCATTTTGTTCAGCTTTCCAAGGAATGTGTATATGGAAGTCATCATCGATCCAGTCTTTGCCCCTGCAAATGAGGAAAATCAGCACGCTTTAGGAAGGAATCACTTACATTCAGGAGGGTTCCATCAGCCTCCGAAGGAGCCCACACTCCATGTGGCCCCGGACTTCTGCCATCTCGCAGGATCAAATGAGATGACAATCATTCCTTGCTAACATGAGCCTGCTTTTTACACGAACACCACTGGGGAGGTGCAGAGAAAACACGGACGTGCATCAGAAAGGCAGGCATGTGCACAGGTTCCAAGGGCCATGTCATCCAGCCCGCTGCGATACATTTGCTGTCCGCCTGTCTCTGGCCTCACCTGTTCATAAACACAGAAATGCATGGACACAGGGATGCTCGTCTGGGGGTCAGGTGCCTTCAGAGTACATCATCCCACTAAAGAGCATGTTTAGCATCCTTCTCAATATCGTTGCTTCAATACCTACGATGATGCTCACAAAGCCTTGGGGCCCTCGACCCTTAACGAGAAAGGCTTTCACCAATATCTATATTGGGTTTAAGATAAGCCAGAGGCTCCTCGAGTATCAGAACCAATGAGCGGGAGCTCACTTGTTCATGCAATGTACATGTCCCCCAAAGACACAGGATACAACATGGGCACAGAGGCTATGCCTGGTGACCAAAACTCTAATGTCCTCAACCAAGGACAAACTTAGCCAACAAATGACAAAGATGCGGCCTTGTATTCTCCTCCCAACCAGACAGATTGTCTTCTTTCAGGGGACCTGAGAACTCAGAACAAGGACTCAAGAACAAATTGGCAATCAGAGGTGGGCTGCCAGCTAACTCTTGCTAGGCCACATGGACATTCACTTAGTCCTACAGACAATACATGTGTTACCCACGCTCACTGACAAAGTCCTTCAAACAAGAAATTTCCTATACATTGGAGCCACCACTCTCCTGTGACCCCATTCAACCATAAAAGACCCCATGTTAAGGCTAAACAGACCCCTTGGTATAACCCTTATCAAAAAATGGATGTTTTTTGGCCCTCCCTGTCTAGTCCCTGTTGGAGTAATGTGCTGGACCTCAGTTCGACGAGGATGACGGTATAGAGTTTTCACTCATTTTGTTCAGCTTTCCAAGGAATGTATACATGGAAGTCATCATCGATCCAAGCACAGGTTTCATCCCTACAAATGAAGAAACTCAAGAGTGCTTTGGAATGGAATCACTTACATTAAGGAAGGTTTCAACCGCCTCTGAAGGAGTCCACACCATGTGTGTCCAGGGGCTTCCTGCCATCTCCAAGGATCATACGAGATGACAATCATTCCCCATGATACAAGCCTGCCTTTTATGCCAACGCCACCTGCGAAGTGCAGAGGAAACACAGGCGTGCTTCAGAAAGGCAGACACAGGTCACAGGGCCATGTTATCCAATGTCCTGGGATACATCTGCTATCTGCCATCTGCCTTTCTCTGCTCCCTTGTTCATGGACGCAAAATGCACGG